TTGATTTAAAAATCATTTTTTAAAAGAGTTAATTGGCAATTTAATAAAAACTGACAATAAAAAGAGAAAAACACACGTTTTGAAGCAGATAAAAGTTAAAAACCTGTATCTTTCTGAGCCAGGAGGCATTATGAAGGGCAGCTTCGAGACTAGCAGCCAGAAGACTTGATCTATCAAGACTAATATGATCCTCAGAATGCATATCAAAATTTAAATGATCATCAGGATGCCCTTGGCCCATGATAACAATCAAGCTAAGATCGCAGGACACAAGATGTTCAGGTGGGAGACCGAGTCGTGGCTCTACAGAATAAAGTAGGTCCTCCAAATTCATGGCCTGTCCCAGGATATGAGGAAATAAAAAAATTCTCATATGGATAATATACAAATAAATAGAATGCGTAAGCCAAGTGTGTTTACTTCATAATAATTTTATAACTAAGTATACCATAGCACTACAATTAGCAATACAGGCTAGGAATAAAGATGAAAAGATCCTATTTGTGATATTAAAATTATAGTTATATGGCAATGCTACTAAGATTATATGAAAGATTATATATGAAAGCCAAAAGTAGAAAAAGATAAAGGCCCATAATTATAAGAAGCGGATTATTTAAGGCTACTATATTCTCGAACTGCGGCCTCAAGTGTGTAGCTGAGAATCAAAAAAATTACTTCAATCTCTCAAGAAACTCAAGGAATTATTTTACCAGAATATGGTAAATATCTCTGATAAGTCAGGGGTGAGAATCAGATTAGTGTTAAAATATCTTCTGAAGCATTACATTAATGTGCTCCTCAATTATGATAAGTGTTACTTGAAAATCGATAAATAATAACATAATTTACGAAGAGAAATAAGTGATCCTTAAAAAGATGACTGAGGATAGGGATCATTTGTGGTAATTGAATTAGTCTCATTTAAGAGTTGGCATTCAAGTCCATTTCAAATTATTATACTCAGTTGATACTAGATAGAAGCCTACTTGTAAGGCAATCTAGGGTTCACAATACTGGTGGAATGATTCCTTAATTTTACCACACTGATAAGAGTATGCCTCTAAATGCCATTCTCTTAGCTTTCCCTCCTTAAAAGTATTCTCATCCAGGAAAGATGGCAGTTCCGAACTCTCCTGGGCCAGATCAGCAACTCCAACGGGGATATAAACCTGGGTAGTGCAGGGTATAGAAACTAACTCAGTATGAATATAATCTAAAGATTTGTTTTTTACTAATTTGAGAATAATTTTATTTCGAAACCTATTATCCATTGATTTGCAAAGTAT